TCTACAGCATATCATCCCCAGTCACAAGGAGTGCTAGAAAGATTCCACCAAACCCTTAAATCTACTTTACGTGCTTACTGTGAGCAATATTCTCGTGAATGGGACGAAGGTTTACCCTTTCTTCTCTTCGCCCTCCGTGAAGCTGAACAAGAAAGTACTAAATACTCTCCATTTGACTTGATTTTTGGACATCAGGTGCGAGGACCCCTAGCCATATTACGAGATTCTTGGATAGGGAAGAGAGGACCTCTTCATCCCAGTCCTCTACTTTGGAAAGAACCTCTCTCCAAATTAAAAAGCTTAGCTGCCGTGAATCTGTCAGAAGCTCAAGCCAAAATGAAGAAGTTTTATGACCAAAAGGCTAAATCTCGTTCATTCTCTCCGAATGAATTAGTGTTAGTTAAAAACTTAATTCCAGGACATTCTTTAAAACCTAGATATTTGGGGCCATATGAAATAGTAGACAAAGAAAATGAGGTGAATTATCTGGTCCGTGAACCAGGACGTCGTAAGAAAATTAAGAGGTATCACATAGATAACTTAAAGAAGTACGAGTCTAGCCTTCTCCCTACTATTATTACCTCTATTCAACCTACATCCACTGAAATAAGGAATGACACTGTAAGGGAAGTAAGAGAATTTAGACTACATAATTCTGAAGTTTTAAAAGAACTAGACCATTTCCTGGAAGTTCTTCCTACCTCCCAAAAATCTCAAATCAAAGAGTTAATCACTAAATATAACTCCATCTTCAAAGATATTCCTACTCCTTGTACATTAGGTTTCCACGATATTGAATTGTTAGAAGATAGTCCAATAAAGCAATCCCCTTACCGGGTCTCTCCTGCTAAGCAAGAATTAATTCAACAAGAAATAAATACATTACTGGAATATAATTTGATAGAGCCCAGTTGGACACCTTGGGCCTCTCCCTGTTTATTGGTCCCAAAACCCGATGGTACCGTACGCCTATGCACGGATTACCGTAAAGTAAATTCAGTCACCAAACCAGATGGGTTTCCATTACCCAGGATTGATGATTTAATAGATGCTGTAGCCGGTGCCAACTTTGTGACCAGATTAGACTTGCTGAGAGGGTATTACCAGGTGCCGTTAACTCCTAGGGCCCAAGAGATTTCCGGGTTCGTAGTTAAGAACGGACTATTTACGTATAAGGTTATGCCTTTCGGCTTGTGTAACGCCGCCTCCTCTTTCCAGAGAATTATGAACATTTTAGTCCAACCCTTAGAAGGTGTAGAGGCATACTTAGACGACCTGGTGGTTTTTAGTGATGACTGGCAGTCTCATTTAGATAGATTAGAGCAACTACTGAAAGCATTGCAGAAATACAATTTCACTGTAAATTTACAAAAATGTGACTTTGGTAAAGCCCAGATTAAATATCTCGGTTTTAAAAAAAGGGAAGGGACTAGTAGCCCCCGACCAATTAAAGGTCCAAGCTATTTTAAATTTCCCGTCTCCTCAAGACAGGAAAGCCCTCCAACGATTTTTGGGGATGGCTACTTATTACAGGCGTTTTTGCCCAAACTTTGCTCAAGTTGCCTCCCCCCTGACTAGATTGACCAGTCCTAAATATAAAATTTAATTGGAACGAGAATTGTGAACAAGCTTTTTAAACGTTTAAAACGTTTCCTTTCCTCTGCCCCAGTATTGCGTGCACCCAATTTCCAAATTCCTTTCACCCTCCATGTTGATGCCAGTGATGCAGCTATAGGTGCTGTCTTATTGCAATCCTTCCAAAACGGTAATATTCTACATCCAATATGTTATTTTTCCTATAAATTGAAAGAATATCAAAGATCTTATTCAACTATAGAAAAAGAAGCCCTGGCTTTAGTGTTGTCCTTAGAACACTTTGACGTATACCTCGGTTATACTCCTCATGTGATAAATATTTACTCAGACCATAATCCTCTAACTTTCATAAATTCTATGAAATCAAAAAATGTTTAGAATATTACGCTGGGCTTTAAGGATCCAACCTTACCGATCTCCATTTTTCACATAAAGGGTTCGAGCAACGTGTTAGCCGATGCTCTCTCTCGCTCCTAATATGGCTTAACTACGGAAATTCTTTGCAGTCAAGCAGTGTTTCTGGACCAGTTCTAGCAAGTGGATGACTAACCTTGGAATGATGTACCTCCATCCCTATACCAGCTGGTTGGTTTCTTCTACTCCATCAGCATCTTAAACGCCGAGATATTTGCTTGTGGGCCGGGGTGTCATGCCCCTATGGTTAACCTTCCTTTAATATTACATTGCGGTCATTTCCTTTAATAGCTAAATTGGAAATGAACGTCCTTGTATTATTAAGATTAATTCTTATTAACAATTATAATTTATGTAACATGGCCATGATAAGTTTAATTGGAGCTATAGTAACCTGCCTGCCGCCCGGTGTGTAGTTAGCCGTGATGTTCGATGGTTATACCCCCCCCTTCCCCCCCCCTTTATGTTCAACTACTCTACTGAGTGTTGGTGAGTCACGTCACGTGACCCACTTTACCTGTATGCTCAAGGTTGAGGGACGAGCAGTGAAGAAGTAGCAGCCAACGAGAACACTCCTGCTCGTCTCTGGTAACTGGCCAAGATTTATTAGCCGGCCTGGACATATTCTGTTTTATTCTGACTGCTTCCAATTGGGAAACAAGACTTTAATGTATAAAGTAATCTCCATTTATATATATGTTATATCTAGGATATCCTCCTAATCCTCTGTTTTGAAAGCCTTATGTATATGTTGGATACTACAGAAGAAACATATATTCTTAACTTATATACGATAATTCGTATATTATAACTGGCTTTTGTTTTATTATGAATATACTTAATTAAAATTAGGCATTCCGGAGGATCATTATTATTACCCTAACCTCTCTGACCAAAATTGTTATGCTCTAAAAAGGAAATAGTTGTTACAATACTTGGAGTGTAACATCTTGTGTAATATAGGTCCTGTTAGGTGTTTTCTTCCAAAACAGGCCTGTTCCATCACAATTAAAAACTTGTTGGGGAACAAAACCATCGGCCTCCACAAATTCCCCAAACTCTGTAACAAAATCATTGGTGGTATCTTTATCATTTTGACCCATACAAGTTCTAGCACGCGAGTCATATTCCAAACAAAAGTCAAATACCAGCCAAAAATTTTCGTGTCTAAACAGGACATATACCAAGTTGGATTTATTCCAATGTATACCAAAGTACAACTGTGTCTTCCATTCTATCAAATGACACCAGAAAAACAAGAATACATCCATAAAAACCATATGAAAATACACTGCAAATTCACTGTTTTACACCAAAATCACGGTCACAGTTTTTTTTCTCATTATGCACTGCTTGCTGCAGTACATAATGTAAGTGTGCATTGTATGCTGTAGTGCATAATGTAAGTATGCTCTGCATGCTGCAGTGCACACTTACCACACAGACCTATTCTCTGATATGTAGGCCCAAATTTACCGGTCACAGCTTACCTGAGTGAGCTGTGCTCATGGCGGCCAACAGTGGCTTCAAAGCCACCTTATCTTTTATGGACAATGCATGGCGTATGTGCTTTACACAATGAGAAGCATTTCTTTTATTCATTGGAACCATGGCTAGGGCTAAAAATGAGCAGGTTATAACAATAAATGGAAAAAGAAAGAAATCGCAAGTAGCACCACCAAACAGAGCAGCTGGTTGGTGTGACAACCCTGGAAATCTGAAATTATGCTAGCCAAAATTAGTGCCAGATTACTGATTGCCAGATTATTGATGGCCAACCTGTATTAACCTCAAAATATATTAGAAATGGGTGTGGGGGCAGTATAGTCAGGGTCTTGGAAGGTATTCCAGTGTTTCATACACTAAATTGGATGTCCATTATGAAGTTATGACACATGTTATGTACCTGTTCCCAATAAAGCTAACAGAATTCTTGGCTTCATATCTAGAAGTATAAATAATAGAAGTCCTCGGGTTGTTCTTCAACTCTATATATCTCGGTTAGACCTCATTTAGACTATGCTGCTCAGTTCTGGTCACCGTATTACAGAATGGATATAAATGCTCTGGAAAACATACAGAGGAGGATGACAAAGATGATCCCATGTATCAGAAATCTTCCCTATGAGGATGGACTGAGGGCCCTGAATCTGCACTCTCTCGAAAGGCGTAGAATTAGGGGGGATATGATCGGGGTGTATAAATGGAAAACAGGAATAAATAAAGGGGATGTAAATCGCGTGCTGAAAATTTCCAGCCAAGACAGGACTCGCAGCAATGGTTTCAAGTTGGAAAAATTCAGATTCAGGAAGGATATAGGAAAGCACTGGTTTGGTAATAGAGTTGTGGATGAGTGGAACAAACTCCCGAGTACAGTTATAGAGGCTAAAACATTGTGTAGTTTTAAAAATAGATTAGATAAATACATGAGTGGGTGTGGGTGGGTGTGAGTTGGACCTGACTAGCTTGTGCTGCTGGGTCTGGTGCCGTGCTCTTTCCTTAAGTGGAAGTGACCAGACTGGGTGGGTCATTGGCTAATCGGGGGGGGGGGGGGGGGGGGGGGGGGGGGGGGGGGGGGGGGGGGGGGGGGGGACATGGACCTGCTCTGCATGGGTCAGTAGGTCTGCTGCAATGTTCCTTCTTTCTTATGTTCTTATCCATCACATAATGCTTTTTATGAACATAAAAAACATTTTAAGATTAAAGTCGGAGCATAAAGGCATTGTCAAAGGATCATCTGCAAACTATAAGACAGAAAACAATAAACAAATAAGGAAAAAAAAGGTATACTCACTTATTAAGGACACCCACTGTAAATATAATTATTTATTAATGACAAGACTAATTGTGATTATTATTATTATTATTATAATAACCACAGGAAAGTTCTAAACCCTTAGAAATCACATAGCACCTGTGCAGTATGTAAACTGATTTATCTGAAAGAAGGGGAGGGTAATTAAATACTGCAACAGATAACATTATCTTACCGGGCCCATGATGCAAATGATTCTCTCCTTCAAGAGACGAGAGAAAATATCATAGGCACGTTCTCCTCTTCCTGTCTGTTCTATCACAATAGGGATCATACCCAGCAACCTCGTGGTGATGTGTGAGGTGACACGTGGGTGAACAAGCCAGTGACATGCTGGATAAATGATACCATTACCAGCCTGAAACAATAAGTAGTAGTAGTCATCCTGCTTTCTCAGATTCATACAAACATATTCTGAATAGCACACATAATACATACACTGCTGTATATCATATACATTCATTGCTATATATCATACACAATACTCCAGCAATGTCAGGCAAATAGCTTCAATAAAAAAGGTAGAGGTATAACACCAATTTTCTGGCATTGTTGGAAAATAGCCTTTGCCAATACAGTGGACCCTCGCCTAACGTTAAATCCGCCTAGCAATACATTTTAACGCAAAAATTTTGCCTCGGCTAGCGCTAAAAAACTCGCCCAACGCGATTCGTTCTGTTCGAGACGTGTCCAGGTGTGGCCTGAGCACGCCTCACTTGTCCCATGGGTGCCAGTGTTTACAAGCCAGCCACCACGGTCGCATCCAAACATACAATCGGAACATTTCATATTATCACAGCTTTTTTAGTGATTGCACCTGCAAGATAAGTCACCATGGGCCCCAATAAAGCTTCTAGTGCCAACCCTACAGCAAAAAGGGTGAGAATGACTATGGATATGAAGAAAGAGTTCATTGCTAAGTATGAAAGTGGAGTGTGTGTCTCCGAGCTGGCCAGCTATTGCAAGCCGTGTTGGTGACTATTACACTGACAATGTTGTGAAACACTTTAGGAATGTCATAAAGGAATGAGAGGTACAGGCCTCTATGGACAGATATGTTGTGCGACAGAGGTCCAGTGACTCTCAAGCTGGTCCTAGTGGCATTAAAAGAAGAAGGGAAGTAACCCCGGAAAAGGACTTGACACCTCAAGTCCTAATGGAAGGAGATTCCCCTTCTAAACATTATCACCATCCACACTCTCCCCTCCTCCCATCCCATCAATCATCACCAGATCTTCAATAAAGGTAAGTGTCGTGTAATTGTACATGTCTTCTTCAGTTTGTGTGTATTAAAATTAATATTTCATGTGGTAATTTTTTTTTTCATACTTTGGGGTGTCAGGAACGGATTAATTTGATTTCTATTATTTTTTATGGGGAAAATTAATTCGGCTAACGATGATTTCGCCTAACGTTGAGCTCTCAGGAACAGATTAATATCGTTAGGCGAGGGTCCACTGTACGTATATCGATTCCCGTATGTTGCATAAGTGTCTCAATCTTCAACTTGTCGGTTTTCAAAACCATTTATCATACATCAATTTTTACCAGACCAACAGAGGTCATGTAATAATAATTCAACAATACACCTGTGACCCACCATGGGCTGCTGGAAACTTAACCCTTTCAGGGTTTCGGCCATATTGTACGGCTTACGCACCAGTGTTTTTGACGTACTAGTACTCATAAATTCTATCGCCTTCAAATCTCGCATGAAAAGGCTGGAAGGCCTAGGTGTGAGAGAATGTGTGTGTGTGGTCGGTGTGCGCGGTAGAAAAAATCTGAGACCCAGTGGCACACTGTGGGAATGCCATTTTAGTAGACCTTGTTCACTATGCCTCGCAGTAAGAAGTACCTCACTCCACAGCCAATTGGGACACTTTTGTTCCCCAGTGACAGTTCTAATACAGATGGAAGTGCAAGTGAAGATGAGTTTTAAGGTTTTGGCGAGGCTGTGATCGAAACTAATGACCATAATATCGGTAATAGTGAAGAAAACCCAGACGACCCTCAACCTTCCACCTCTGCTGCTGGGCCATCTTGTTCACATTAAGTTGTACCAGAATCGAAGAGGAAACTCCTATTTTCCCAAATCCTGGACTCAGATGTGAGCATTGATGATGATAGTGATGGTGAATATGAACCAGTTCCTGTAGTTATAGTGAAGTGGAATATTCTCCAGTGAAGCATCAGTATATACGACGATATATGCGCTCTCGTAGTGTGCCATATGCTATTCCAAGGGGAAGGAGTACATCTCGGAGTACATCCCATGGCTGTAGAACAGGAACAGAGAGTGAAAATGATGATCATAGTGTTGCAATTGGGATGGAAAATGTGCATGGTGGTGGTAGTGGTGGTGCCAGCCGTGAGGCACCAGCAGTGGGCCATGCTGCCACCCACGCCGCTGCCACCCATGCCGCTGCCACCCATGCCGCTGCCACCCGCGCTGCTGCCCCAGCTGGTCTACAACAAAGGCCACCATCCCCCACCCACCCACCACACCAGCCTCTACAACCACAACCTCCACAACCACAACCACCTGTCAATGTCCAGTACCCACCACCAGACCGCACCTGGGATTGGCAGGAAGATGTCAATTTTGTTCCAAATCCCCACCAGTTTGATGAAAGCCAAAGTGGATTATGGCCATGTTGTAAACTGGGGAACAATGCCACTGAACTGGAATGTTTCGAGTTATTCTTTGACAAACCCGATGGAAATTATTGTCAGGGAAAGCAACAGATACTACGAGTACACCATGGCAAACACATTACTTTCACCAAAATCACATCTACACCAGTGGAAGGAGACAACTGTGGCTGAGATGTATCTTTTCTTTGCCACAAAAATGCTTATGCCACATGTGTATAAGCACAGAGTGAAATCATACTGGTCAACAGACTGCCTGATTGCAACCCCAGGTTTCAGTGATAAAATGGGAGTGAATCGATTTGTGTTACTGTTACGTATGCTTCACTTCTCGGACAAAATCAGGCCTGACAGAAATGACAGGTTATATAAGATTAGGAATGTGTTTGTGTAGCTGAAAGAGAAATTCAATATGCATAACAAAAAAAAGGCACAATACCGTGACTGGAACGATACACAAATAACCCGCACATAAAAGAGAGAAGCTTACGACGACGTTTCGGTCTGACTTGGACCACTTCTGGTTAGTATGACTTTGTAAATGGTCCAAGTCGGACCAAAACGTCGTCGTAAGCTTCTCTCTTTTATGTGCGGGTTATTTGTGTTTCAATATATATTTTTATCCCTTCAGGAAGCTTGTAATTGATGAGTCTGATTCTGTTCAAAGACCCTCTTTCAAGCAGTACATACCAAGCAAGAGGAAATGCTTTGGTATAAAGTTGTTTGTGCTTTGTGATCATAACAGTGATCTGGTAATGGATATTATTGTGTACACTGGAAGTTATACATTGCAAAATACCAGGAAGTTATTGGGCATCTCAGGTGATGTGGTTAGAACAATGATAGAACCATACCTTGGTAAGGGGTATATATTATATACTGATAACTGGTACACAAGCCCCTCACTCAGTGATTTTTTTGTGAGTGAACATGACAGTTGTGTGTGGCACAGTGCGTGCAAATCGTAAGCATATGCCCAGGTTTGATGCTGGCACTCGTAGAGGTGAGGTGCAGGCGTTTGCTGCCAATGACATCATGGCATTTCGGTGGCATGACAAACGAGATGTCACACTGTTGTCATCAGTTCACCCTAATGAAATGGCAGACACTGGCAGGCAGCATGGAGAAAGCAATGAACCCATTCTAAACCTACAGCTGTGATTGATTACACCCTCAATATGCGCTCAGTGGACAAATGTGACATGCAGATTGGGTTTGCTGATTGTGTTTGCAAGAGTTATAAGTGGTACATAAAACTCTTTTTCCATCTTCTGGACATTTCCATGCTCAATGCTTATAATATGTATAAGATGAGGACCAGAAACAAACCATCATATGGCAAATTCTGCTTGTCTGTCATCAGACAAATAGTACAGGTCCTCCATCAGAAATCCGGCATCATTGGGACCTGTAGTGTACCGGATTACTGAGTTTGCCAGATTACAGAGTGGTTAGGTTAGAATACACTTAATAAAATTAACCAACTTGACTTACAAAAAGTTCATTGAACATCAGCAAAAATCGAAACATTTCCGCTACTTTGAGCTCAATTTCAAGGTACTTTTCGTCATGAAAACAATCAAAATCATGTCTATTTTTGTAATATATCTTCCATTCTATCAAATGAGTCTAAAGAAATGAGAATACAACAATAAGAACCATACGAAAATATACTGCAAAGAGGCGGCTAATGGCTGAGAAGTGAATACCTTATTTTTCGTCTGTCTTTTTTATTTTTTTTTTGTACGTTAATTAGTCATTTTTCCCATCATAAAATTGCCCAAGTTCAATGAGATGCCCAACAAACAACCGAGAAAAAAAAATATTTACCAAAAATCACATTTTGGGCGACCCCAAGCCAGGTACTGGAAGTAAGTCACTTTGTCTGACTTTTCTGGGTTATCCTAGGTTTTCAATACATACGCGCTATGTATGAAAATCTATATAACTGTATTTGTTTTATACCTGAATGAACTTTTTTTACTTCTTAGTTTGTCAACTGAGTACAAGAAACCGCCCATTCACTTATTTCAACTACCCAAAAAGGGTTTTGTCAGAAATTGGCAATTTGGTGATTCACACAAATTTTCAACAGATGCCAATTTCAAAATAGGGTCCAGAATAAATAATGCAGACATTCCTGGCAGTTAAAATAACATTTTCTCTGTTCATTAGTCATGGCTACAGGCCCCTCTTATATTACTCTTGCTTTCCATTTGGAATTTTTATTCACAAAAAAATAAGAAGATTTACTGTTATGCAGACTGCTGCATTATTGTAATAATTGCAAAAATAATGTCAACCATTCTTGATACGTATTGGAATTTGGGACTGGCAGGCGGACAGGTATTGGATGGTGACGTCATTTGTTTACTCTTGGCTTCGCTAAAGAATAGAACATTTTTCGCTACTGTGAGCGCAATTTCAAGGTACTTTTCATCATGAAAGCAATCAAAATCATATCTATTTCTGTAATATATCTTTCATTCTATCAAATGAGACCGAAAAATGAGAAAAAAATATACCGCTAAGTGGCCGCTAATGGCGAGAAGTGAACTCTGCTATTTATGGTCTGATTTTCTTTAATTTTTGGTGTACGTTAAGAAGTATCTTTCCATCATACATTGCCCAATTTCAAAAGATAACCAAAAAAAAACTGAGAAAATATATAATAATAATATAAAATAATAATAATAAAATAAAATATTA